TAAGCACTGAACTTTGAATTAATATTGTAAGTTATAATTAGTGACGATAGAGGTAAAAAAAAACATTATTGATGATAGGAGGTAAAAAAAAAAGCAAATGAAAGAAATGATCTAGTCTCTAAAAAATCATTTATCGTCAAAGGGCAACTCCTACGAAAACGCGCCACTTTTTAAGCATCTATAGTCGTTCAGAATTCGTATTATGATATACTCATATTCGTGTATACACCTTGAAAAAACGTAGTCGTGTTCGAAAAGGTCACATCATAGAAGCTAAGACCGAAAGGGATTTTGAGTACCACTAAATTGGGATTACATTTGCATGTACGGTGTTTAACATGGTGCACGGTAAAACAACTAGAGCTAGTAAGGTTAACAGCATGCTAGTCTTTTATGCTGGAGAGTTGTTTGTATGAAATTAGCCAAATTGTTTGTCTTCCCAAGTACCTTTTCGGTCTTAGCTCCTATGATTAGACCTTTTTGGACCCGACAACGTTTCTTCAATTAGGTGTATTAGAAGCTTGATGGGAAAAGGTTTTGTTGGGAGTCAACCACAGAAAAAGAAAAACAGGGTTAAGTCGATGACATCGACTGTAAAAATATATGCCAAAATAATTCTGAATATTGATCTGAAGTTAAGAAAGTTTTCCCTAGAGCCTCAATATTCAAATTTGTATTATGCTCAAACTGCGAAATCAATTACTTTACTCTTGAAAATGGTGCCTGATGGCACCGAAACGTCGAGTCTTGTCGTGTGTAATAAATTTCATAGGTAGACGTTAAGAAAAATACCAAAAACATGTTGGCTTCAATATTAATAAAGCCATATAGACAGTTTTACGCGAATTTGAACAATTTGGCATTTTATATATGAATAGTAATGTGTAACCAAGTCTGGAAGCTCAAAAACAGTTAATTCTCTTTCTTTGTTAATTGAAAAGCGTTACTTCAAAGTATAAACGTCTTTGGTGACTAATGCATTGCTAGCAAACTCCATAGAAACTCTGTAAACACCAAAGATAACAGATTA